AAACCTAAACTAACCAAACCAAACCGTAAACGTACGTTTTAGTCGGTTTTCCTACGTACCGTACTATGCTATGACACAAACTAATAACTAACTATGACAAAATAACGACACACATATATGCGTAATAATATATATATATATATATATATATATATATATATGTGCAGAACTACACATTGTGCAAGCAATTTATAGATGCAAAAATACATATATATATATACATATGTGTAAGCTACATAAACAAGTAAAAACATACAAAAATACATATATGTACTCTATATATACATGCAAAACCACACATAAATACATACGTGTCAGCTATACCTACACGCAGAACTACACACACATCCATATGCGCGCACGTGCATACTGAGTGGAAACGCCATAGGTGGACAGATATGAGAAATAGGTAGGCATACCACACGCACCCATACCATCAACGCCAGGTGCAGGGTCCTCCAACACATGGATCTTTGGGGGCAGGGGCGCACCCACACCCTGGTCAAACAGGATCTTGGTGTCGTTCAGGTCCAGCAGCACATTGGTTGCCATGGGAACGGCCGGGATGATGCTGTCGTCCCACACCACCTCCTTGTCCCAGTTGCCGTATAGCAGTTCGGTATTGACCGGAGTCACTCGCGAGTACTCCAACGCCTCGTGGGATTTGCCCCGCAATTGATTCGAAGCACTGAGCGAGGAGCCGCCGCTATTACTAATACTATTACTATTATAATTACTAAAACTACTACTATTGTTGTTGTTGTTGTTGTTGTTGTTGTTAGCTCCTGCGCCGGCAGACGTGTTGTTGCCGTTGGCGCTGTTGGACGCATCGTTGCTACTGGCTGCGATGGGAACGATCGTAAAGATGAATGTTATAGTTTAAGGGCAGGAGAGTGTGATAACGTGCGTAAGGATCAATATTATAGTTTAAGGGTAGGAGAGTGTGATAACGTGCGTAAAGATGTATGTTATAGTTTAAGGGTAGGAGAGTGTGATAACGTGCGTAAAGATGAATGTTATAGTTTAAGGGTTGGAGAGTGTGATAACGTGCGTAAAGATGAATGTTATAGTTTAAGGGTAGGGAGTGTGATAACGTGCGTAAGAATCAATGTTATAGTTTAAGGGCAGGAGAGTGTGATAACGTGCGTAAAGATGAATGTTATAGTTTAAGGATAGGAGAGTGTGATAACGTGCGTAAAGATGAATGTTATAGTTGAAGGGTAGGAGAGTGTGATACCATGCGTCAGGATTAACGTTTGCTATGGTGACTGTAGTCCCATCTAACACCATCACAGAGACGATGATCGAGAGGTACAGGAGTTCGTCCGGACATGCAATACAAAGACTAGTATTCCTACTGCTAGTAGTAGTAGTACTACCACTACCACTACTACAACTACTATTACTACTACCATCATCATCATACAATACATCCAACGACACCCCACAGCACCATGGGCACTAGGAGCAACAACTGATTAATCTCTCCAGAAGTACTGACATGGTCTTCAGGCTCACCCCTGTTCTCCTTACCCATACAATGATTGCCATCACCATACCATTATTGTCTCTATCCGGACCACTGCCGCCTCCCAAGTCTCCGTTCATGGACCCAGCAGGAGATTCTGGGACAACCTGTCCGGGTGTCCCAGGTCCAGGTGTAGCGGGCCGGGGTGTTGGAACTGCCAGCGATATCCGATTCGCCTGGCTGCTATTGTTCGAGCTGCCCCTGAGAGGACGAAGAAGCAATTACAGCAAGTGAGATGGTATGTCTTAGAGGACTAGCCACAATAGCAGTGGTAGGTGTATAGCAATCGTTGAGTGCCATTTATATATATATATATATATATATATATATATGCATATGCATAGATACATGTACCTGATAGCTGGTTGCACGGCTTCCAATCCATCCTCTGTGGCCTCTTCGATTTCCGTCTCACTGTCTGATGGAGGACTGACTTTCCATTGGTCGTTGAGGTCGTCGTCTAATATCATCACCTGGTAGTACACAATTCCCCAACCACGTTTAGTACTTCTCATTTCAGAAATATACAATACATTGCGTGTATTTAGTCCGCGCGCATTTAGTCCACTTATCGCCTTTCAAGAGGGTTCATCAATACATCTCTCACGGGCAAGGCTCGACTTCTTGTCGGTCTCGTGCGTGTGAGATTGGGCTGTTCTCATTCCTACAGTTCCCCACATGTACATGTACATGTACATGTACATGTACATGTACATTTACACAAACATATACACGTACATATACCTATCCATATCCATACACACACACAAATATATAGTCCTACTGTACACACCTTATCCGTCTCCTCGTCCTCCTCCCCCCAGTCCAGACTCTCTTCCCACAGCTTCTGCGCAACGGGCAGTAGGGGCCACTGTGCGGTGTATGCCTCATGCACAAACTCCGCCACAGACGGGTCGACTACACTGTCAGCAGCCTACGGGTTTCGGGTTTAGAGTTTAGGGGTTTAGGGGTTTAGGGTTTATATATATATATATATATATATATATATATATATACGCACACACACACACACACACATATATATATATATATATTATGTAGTATATATATATATAAAATATGTAATATTTATATAAATACTCAAGCATTTTGGAGTTTTGAAGGTATCCCAGACATAGACACCCTACACCATCGCGAAGGTGCTCGAAGGGTTTAATTAAAACCACTTGTGTGCTCCCTCCCAATTGATTTACAGCACTTTCCATCTTTTGAGCGTGTATGATTGTGCACTGACATGTTGTCTTGGCCCTGACAAGCCGTTCCATTGACATGTGATGTGCTCTAGAATTCAGAGCGCAAATACATGATAATCTGTTCTATGAGTTTGAATGAGTGCTCGAATGCTTATGCACACATATACATAGGGCAATCCAAGAAGATTAGGATACAAATGGGTATACACGGGTCGGAAACACAGACAGACACACATCCACACATACATGCGCGTATATATATATATATATATATACATACATAATAAAATATATACATACATACATACATACATACACATCCAAATGCTTTCCCCCTCTCATCCATACCTTCAGCGTTTTCGGTTTGGCTTCCTTTTTCTTCTTTGCGTCGCTTGTCTCCGCATCTTTTGATACGTCAACTACCCCTGCAGCCGTGCCGTCCTTCCCATCAACAGCAGCTGTCGGTTCTTTTTCGACAGTCACCGCTTTCCTGTGCTTTGGGACCGCCTTGGGTGCCACAAAGTCTGAGAAAATGGCTCTCTCATCGGGCTTTGGGACAAAGGCCCTTTCCGCGTTCTGGTACGAGGTTTAAGGTAAGGTGCCAAATATAGTAATTACAAGTGATGGTTAATTCGATGAGATGGGCTGAGACGTTACAACGCAGAGAAATGACCTTCGCTTCGCCAATTGGTTACTAAAGACCCAAAAATTAAAAACCTAAAAACCAAAGACCCGAGAACCATAGATCCGAAAATCAAAGACCCGAAAACCAAAGAACCAAAAATCAAAGACTCAAAAACCAACAACCGAAAAACCGAAGACCCAAAAACCAAGGACCTTAAAACCACAGACCCAAAAATCCAAAACCCAAAAAGATATCGATGGCAGAGACAACTATTGCGAGTGGGTGTGTCATTGTGTGTATACTGTTATATTGTGATAATCGAGGCCTGCGAGTGTTGACAGCAAATGCAGACGTACTTTATCGGTCTTTGTGCCTCGGCCAATGGGCACTAGTTCCCTTCGAGGGGCAAACATGTCCGAAAACTTCAGCACAATATCTGGGAGAAGGAGAGGCAGAGAATATTCGCACAGAAATTAGTACAACATGAACTGATACATATAGTTTTAGGACAGGATTCAATTTGTCTGATAAATTCAGGGCAAGGTCTGGAAGGAGATGGCCCAGTTAGCCATTCGGACCGATAGTACTACCACACTCCCTATATCTGTAGTCATCCTCATGGTATGGCCTGTACCCCTTATAAGACACCAGATGGACCTTTTGTTGCCCTAACAAACCTTGCCTGCCAGGGTTTTAAGGTTTAGCGCTTTTTTTCTTCTGCTAGCGTACAGATCACATATAAATGCCGCCTGAGACGGCTGCATACTTTTCATTAATATGATATGCTCTTCCATCGACTGCTCCTGCACCAGGAACCTACAAGTAACCCGGCGTGGTGCTTTATGAAGTGGTACCCTGTTTGGTCCTATAACTCAGTCCAGTTGCAGGGCAAACTACAAGTAACTCGGTGTGGTGCTCTATGAAGTGGTACTATGTTTGGTCCTATAGCTCAGTCCAGGTGCAGGACAAACTACCCCTACCCACTACATAATACCGTTTTTAGCATCTTCATTCATGTGCTATTCTGTCATAAAACTCAGACCATTTTTCCTTCGTTTTGAGGTCAAATTGCACCTAACTACGCACTCTCCTTACGACACTGACAAGACTATGTTTCACATACTATCTTTGTACCCCTCGAACAGATTAGGCAGATCTTTTTTGGAATATTTAAAACTCCGAGCCGGCGTTACAATCGGATTGAACTTGTATCCAAATTTGGCGGCTTTCCTGGCACGCAAAACCTTGTATTCCGCCTCTACCTTGGCTTTCACCTAAGAAACGTAGGAATATTTCAGATATGAATCAGCGCATCTACACACACATACACACAGACACACAGATACATAGACACAGACACAGACACAGACACAGACACAGACACGGACACAGATACAGACACAGACACAGACACAGACACAGACACAGACACAGACACAGACACGGACACAGATACAGAC